ACCCACTGTCTACACAAACACATTACCTTCCCTTACCGCGTCACGTTTTCCCCTCTTATATATACCAGCCTACCCTACTGGTAAATACTAGAGCATTCGCCAAAGTACATGATAATTCTAGAAACGTTGCATCACTGTAGTCATGTGACTGCTGACGCAACAATATTAAACAAAGATATCTATAATGCACTTTATCCAAAAGTAAAGCTAATTTGGTAATCTATCTTAAAAGGCAATCTCCATGTCTCTGTAAGCTGGAATATCTATCAAAGAAAACATGATAATATTATTAAGTATGGTAGTACTTAATAGCAGGTGTCGCCAAAGTTTTTAAATAATTCATGAGCCGAAAACCCACCTTAACTAATTCCTAAGCGAAAAACTGACCATTTAAAATATCGATCACGATATATTATGCTCATATATACTAATAATACACTAAAAAGTTAGCTAATCTTTTCGGTATAACAATTCAAAATTTTCTAAAACACCAACGTATCACGTCAGCAGTGCTAGCCATTACACGGCTCGGACTATCGCTATAATATTTCTCCAGCTTACTTGACCGTTTTGTGGGTATCTGCTTGTGATAGTCCGATAAATAAATATATACATATATATATATATATGTACAGTTATTTTTTTTATATATATAAATGGTAAACATGTCATGCACGTACTTGAATACCTTTTAACTCCAATTCAACCCAACAGATAGCGGTATACATCGATGGATAGACAAGCGACGGTTTCTAATGGTAAAATTAAACAAACAAGAGTATTAAAAAATTATGAATCTTAAAATGAAGTAGGGATCCTGCTACAAAAAGTAATGAAACAAGAATTAGAACCACAATCACAAATTTATAAAATTAAATCCCTAGATTTGGCAGTTTTATACACTTATCTGTAAGCTAAAGTAAGGATAACATTCTATAAATTGTGATTGTGGTTTTAATTCTTGTAAAATGAGATTTTTGCGGAAAGTAGGGAGTGCTGCTGCAATAAAAAGAAAACAAACAAGTTTGTTTGTAATTAAGCACAAAGCTACCCGATTGTCTATCTGGGCTCTGCCCACCACGGGTATCGAAACCCGGATTATAGCTTTGTAAGTACACAAACATACCGCTGTGCCACTGGCGGCGTAAAATATACAACTAAAGTGATACTAGTTGGATAGATTTTAAATCGTTTTAAAATCTATCCAAATAGTATCACTTTACTTGTTTATATATAAGGTTCTTTATGCCCTGGTGAACATACCATACACGCCGCCCACCACTCTTGCCAACAAGTGGTGTCATACCTAAGGCAATCACATCGACAGTCACCAGGGCAGACCACTGCTTCTATTCGTAGCATCGTTTTTGTTACAGTTATCTTTTCTAATAGAAAACACAAGTGACGACCATGGTTACACATCCAATTACTTGAATAAACAAGACGAGAGAAATTTACTACTTCTCTTGTCCAATGTTCTATACTGAGAATAGACCATGAAACTCACGAAAATTTTAAAAATTGTCTAATAGCTAAGGGGATAGAAAATTCATGATATGCCTGCGTCTCACAGTGGTTTGCAAATATATTTCGTATATATTGCATAAATACGTAATACAGAACATCGTATTGTTACGTCTCTGGTCGTTAGTTAATTTCCTGTATAATTTCTTTCCGATGAAACTTTAGCGACACAAATCCTTTCTTAAATAAAACTGGTTTATTCTTTTTGAATACAACTTTGCAATACACTTAATTTCCACAGTCGCGCTATAACAAACACTATAATTCACAACGAACGTCTCACGTGCTCGCTCAACAATACGTCTCTCTCTGTTCGCAGTTCAATTACCCATTGTTGCCGTCACGTCTTGACCGTCTTATATGTACAAGAATACCGAAATCTAGTAAACGCTCGAGCATTCACGAACCTTCGAGAATATGACGTGTTACTAGGGTCACGTGACCTCCGCTGTCGTAACAGTATGTATTGTTCCATTCACATCTTTAAATAGATGCTTTGATTCAAATGAATATTGTTCAGCTCTATTTTATTAGCTTAACAGTCTTTAGCTTTTATACCTGAAATTGGCCAATAGCCGAAATGTTGCAAACATACACACTCGTACAAGATTGTTGAAATCAGTTTTAAAGACATCATTTGTATTTATTTATTATGACTACCGTACATTTTAAAAAGGAACTTATAAAAATATAACTAAGTTCCCTATTTTAGCTTGATTAAATTAACATAAATTAACGAAGAATGGTAATTTTATTCGTACTTTAAATGTTGTACTATAAAATTGCATCTACAAGTTTTAAAAAAAGCCAAACAAAGAATTGAAGATGCATTATAGCCAACTAATATAGTAACAAACGTTAAGTCCTGGCATCTATTGAGCTTTATCAAAAATTATACTTTTAGAGACTTTTTTGCAAAAAAAAAAAAGGTAATAAAAATAAGGTAAAAATTACTGTAAGCAAATAAAAATTACAGTTATGTTTCGGGCAACAACGAGATCTTAAGATTTTAGAATTATTCATTCTTAATTTTTTCTGCGAAGTAGCTTATTATGCAATAGTTCCCTTTTATCTATTGGTCTATTTTCAATGACGTAAATCTCAGCGGCACCGATGAAAAATATTAAGTATTTAACGCTATACTAGTACTCAGTACCCATTAGTAGTGAAATTAGTTGTTCTGAGAATTTGTACCAAATTATGTTAGTAATATGGCTTTAATCTTCTTAGTTAGACAAACTATTTAGTGACCTGGTAACAAGTTACATAAGTAGTAGTTACGTATTGTTTTGAAGTGAGACAAGCTAGTCATTTGTGTTGCTGGTGTTTGAATATTCGGATTATTCCTACAGAAAGTACTAGTAGTAGTAGTGACTTACTGTTAGTACTGTATTATTATTACTAATGCTATAAATTAAGTATAATTAAAATACATAATATTATTAGTAGTAACTTAAGTAAGTCATTACTAAGTATTATAATTTACCGTACTAACGTTACGCTGTTAGTGTTAGGTAAGCAGTTCGTATAACTATAATTTAAATCTTAACGACTGGTAAAGGCAATGAAGTTTCATGTTAGTTATTACTACTAGTACTATTGTTACTGTTTGTTACACTAAACTAGAGCTTGGTTATATTTAAATTAAAACCTAAGTCCTAACTTGGCTTTCAAACTTAACATTAAACCATCAGCAGAGTTCAAAATACTTTTGAAATACTCTGTCTATGCTTGAAATATTGGTATTGTTAAAGGAAGTCAAAGATCAAATGTGTAACTGGCAAGCATCTTGTTTTTTTTTGTTTTGTTTTTTATCTGTGTCCGGTCAATAGACAGTGGGTAGGTACCTGCAGATTGGAAAATTGCTAATGTTACTCCCATTTTTAAAGGGGGTGGGTGGAGAAGTATTGTCCTGGACATTACAGACCAATTAGTCTACTTCTTTAGTGGGAAAATTCTATTTTGATAAAACATTAAAAGAAGTTTTGTAAAATCATGTAGTGAAATATTATATCATAAAATCAACATAGATACACTAAAGATAAATCTTTCATTTTAAATTTAATCTGTTAAACTTTTTAAATTATGGAAAGGGTGTTGATTTAATGTACTTAGATTTTCAAAAACATTTTGACAAGGCCCCACACAAAAAATTTGCTATGAAAATTACATTTGTGGGTGTTGTAGAAAGAATGGTAGTTGCTTAAATTATAAAATGATTGTTGCTTTAGGGGCCTCTTTTTCTTAGTAACATAAATGATATTAATAGGGTATTATTAGTTAGTCTGTAGAGAGAAATTAAACTTTGGTATTTCTAGCTATATTAAGAATGTTGAGGTATTATAGCATGTTACTTTAAAAGTTAGTGGTTCAAGCACTGAAAGCTGACAAAATATTGGACAATCAATAGGCCCACAAATTGTTATGAAAACAAGTTGGCTGCATTTTTTTTTTTCATATTCTTTATAATTTGTCTTTTGTTGCTTAAAATGAACAAATGAAGAGAAATGTGGAAAATAGCTACAAGTAACTTTTTTTTATAAATATACTGCAATTGGGTAGTTGAACTAATATATGGAAGGATTTCCTTTAAGTTTGATTATAGTAAATGCAAAGTAGTGCATTTCATTTATCACAACTTGGATCAAATGTTTAATGTATATATGAATAGAATAGGATCTTACCATGGTTGTGGATAAGGCACTCAAGCCATCAAGTTAGTTAGAGTTCTGTTGCTAGTAGTAAAGCTAATAGAATCCAAGAGTGTGTTTATACTTGTAGACATACTGGTGACAAGTCAAAAATAGATAATTATCTATACATTCACTAGTTAGGCCTCACTTGGAATACTATAGTTATTGTTCTCCTTATTTAAGAAAAAAAGATCTTATTGGAAAAGGTTCAAAGGAGGGTAACTAAGATGATTCAGGGATGGATGAAGACCTTTCAATTTACTTTCACTCGAGCAAGCAAGTCATAGAAGATTGTATTGAATTTTTTCAGTTTAAGATTTGATAAAACAAGCTATGCTTCAATTAAGATAGCTGTTTTTCTACTCTTTAGAAGGAGAACTGATACTTTTTGAGAAATAGAGGGCGCCTTTAAATTTGTACTTGTTTTCTCAAGAACAATTGTGCAAAGACGCCATTGAAAAACCAAATGGTGCTTTTGGAAATTCTTTATTTGTTATTTTAATGTATAATTTCCTAATTTATATATTTTAAGCTGAATTCAACTTGTGTTCATTTAAAATAGTAATCTTTAAATGTGTAACTTAGTGTCCTAAATGCTAATAATGACTGAGTTAGAATAACTAGAAAGTAAAATGTGTGAATTATGTAATGTTTTAATAATAGCAGTTACTAGTTATGCTGTTATCAAAGTATACAAATTAACTGTTGAAGCTGACAATTTAATTTAGTTTAAGAGAGACCACATTTAATTTTTTATGATATTTTACCAGCTTTTTACTTAAGCATCTGAAAATGATGAGATTTTTCTTTTGATTAAGAATGATGACCCTCATTTTTTTACTATTAGTGATGAAATTTCATTGAGTCGTTTACATAGGCATGTGTATGGCTCCCTATTGAAAATTGGAGACATGGGTGCTACTTGTGGTATATTTTAGTTATGGGGACAGAATTATTACACATACATACACATTTAGACAGCAAATATTGAACATTCAAAAGTAGCTCTTATCATTCCCATAAACTCCTTTAAATTAACTGCATCATCATTCCTGAAGGGCAATCCTTTCTACAGGCCAATCACTTTGTTAGAAAAGGATGTCCTAGCTGAAGATAACTCCTATCCTGTGTAAATTAAATGTAGAAAATTTTGTTTAAATATATTGTAAAAAAAAAAAAGTGTACTGAGATAAAAATATATATATATATATATATTTATTTATTTATTTATTTGGAAATTTGATTGTTTTTTGTACAATAAATGGAAAGAATTTGGTTTTATATCACTAAACCAGTGGTTCTCAACCTCTATTGGCTCGGAACCTACTTGTAAACATTGGTGGCCAGTCTTGACCCAGTGAATAACTTTAGTTTTAAGAAAACAAAACCTGGCTCACTTAATAAGTAAACTGTGATATGTTCCCAAAGTTTATTCATGACTGTTTTGCACATTTTTATTACCCAATTTTGGGTTGTGACCCATGGGTTGAGAAACACTGTACTATACCATAAGAAGTCATACAATTCTAAAGTTGAAGCACTAAGCACTGTGGAAGGTTGTACAGTTTTAAATTGCTTGGTCAGAATGAGTCAATAAAATATCCATGGAATATACTAAATATAAGAATGTGTAAGCCAAATGTTAGATTGAATTTATAATCATCTATTAAAGTGACTGATGTGGTACAGGGCATTCTAGGTGCAGAAATTGCAGTATTTATGTAAAGATGGTTTGGTTTTATTATTCCGTTATTTTTTTTTACAAGCATGTCAAAAATGGTAGTTTTAAGTGTACCTAGATTTTCCACACCAAAATAAACCCCTCCAATTTGCCAAAATAAATATAGGGGTAAGGAAGGATTGAGTTTAGGAGGAAAAATTCCATTTGGTCCTTCAAGGCTGTTTTTGCACACCAACCCTTGAGAAAAATAAAAAAATTATATTCACTATATTATTCAGGAAATCATCAGCTCCCATCTTAAACTTTTGCAATGTACCCGCCTCCACTAGTGATAATGACAATTCTTTCTATAAGCCAATCACCTTGTTGGAAAAATAACCGTCTTATTTAATTAGAACCTTGCCTATATTTTTCCAAACCTTAGACTTGTCTTGTTTTCTCATTTTCAGAATACAGTGCAAAGAAACCAGAAGCTTGTATCCTATCAATCCCCTAGATAGAACTGAGATTAATGACATGTACTAATTGATTAATCAATATGACAATAAATATAATCAGAAACACTAATTTTGATCAGTTGCTTATTTTCATGACAGTTGATTTAATTATAATTTTTATAATCGATTTTTTTGGAATAAGTAAACAATAATTATTGGAAACATTAATTTCACTTAATCAATTAGTTTATAGATAGTTGATGAAATTGCCCAGGTCTATGTAAACTTCAATAAAATCATCTCTTATCCTCCATAAGAGAACACAGGATCTTAAGTTATCCCTATAAGATAACCACCTATCTCCAAAATCATCCTAGTAACCCTCATCTGACCCTTTTACAATAAGTCAAGATTCTATATATAGTTCAGTTAAGACTTAAAAAGTTTTTTTTATATACTTATCGGGTATATTTTAAGGAATTGTTGCTGTTTTTTATAAAAAAAGGTTATTATCAAAGCCTTTTTGACATTTTTAGGTTCTAGTGAATGATACTTAGCCTCATTTACAAAAGCATAACTAATGAAAATAAATTATATGTATATTTTAGTTCTTCTTGTAGTGTTGCAATGGCTAGTCTTGGGTTACCATTTCATGATAAGGAAAACACATCTACTTCAAACTTTGGCTTTGTGAAAAATGAAAGACTAAAGACATCCAAGTGTAAGTTTGTTGTGAATAAAATAGTGTTTTATTACTTGTTAAAAATAACATTATGTACTAACATGTAGAAATTTGTTGTCTTAAGATAACTTGTACTGATTAATCACAGTTTTGGTGTTGTCAGAAAGATAACTAGTGATCCCTAAATTCTGAGAAGTTTAGAGTATCTCAAAATGTTGTCTACCTTTGGTACTATTATTTAGAAATTCTGTATTTGAAGGATTATAAGTTGTGTAATTTTGTATGAGAATTGTATAAAGCAAAATTTACATATCAATAATAAAATTACTGTATTCTTGTCTTCTTTTTTTTTTAATTATTTTTTCACTAACATTTTCAGTAGTGAATCCTTCCCGAAGTGTTAAAAAGGTTCATCAATCTGTGACTAATAGTCTTCCCCGAAGAGCTTTAGGTAATGTGAGCAATATCACTCCATCTGTGAAGGATGACTATCACTATGGGCAAATGAAAGGTAGTGATATTCAGATCAAGAAACCAACAACTGTGTTATCAGGCTCTGGTAAGAAAATGCGGAAGGTACCAAAGCCAACAAGTGGGAAATTACAGGTACAGTTATTAAGAACTTTCATGATTAAACATAGTTACATTTTTTATTGTTAAATGCTATGAAATCAAGCTGTCTGACATGCAATGGCTTTTATGTCAAGAGTATAACCTAATATTGTTGTTAGTCTATGTACTGAAGTGTAAAATAATGTCTAGACAGCAAAACTGGAAAAATATTAGTTGATTTTTTTAATTTAGTTTCTCCATTGATTAAAAAGTTTGTCTGATATACATTTTTATAAATTAGGATTGGTTGAAAAGTAGATTTTAAAAACTATTTTAGCCAATCAGGTGTGTTTGTTGTTGTTTAGGTTGCAATAACTAACTTTGCCTGACCCATCAAAAATATGATAGGTTGGAGTTTTGTTTAAAAAAACGCAGGGGCCTTTGTCCTTCTTTCAGCATAGTATTTAAATTATGCAATAAAAGGGTCTAATGTTAGATCGTAAAATAAGTTTATTTATTGATAGTATTAAGTATGGTAAAGTTTAGCCTTAACTAAACCAGAAAGAATTGTACAGAAGTCGGTGGTAATTTATCTCTATTGAATATAGGCTTAACTAATATTAGGCTGATACTTCAGCTTAACATGAAGCAAACAAGTGCCAAGTATTAAGTTAGTTAACTGGAAATATAATTGATCATGGTTTAGGCCTATGATTCTGTATTTAAAGAAGTAATGTTGCAGTAAAAGAAAATTTGACTGCAAATGTTTTGTGGGTCTATGCTTGTATATGTATATAGTAGGAAATTCTAATAATAGAAGTAATGAGAAATTTTTGTGCAGTAGCAAGGGTAAATGAAAAAGTTTGACTTAATTTTTTGTTGAGGAAAAGGTTAACTGGTTTAAATTGTATGATAAACTCAAAGGGTTGGAAAATATTTTGAAACTAGAATGGATTGCACTTGGAAACAGTCTTTGAACAGTTATTTATAGTCTAGAAATAATTGATATTTAAATGTAGTGGGTAAGAAAATGAACAATCTGTATTTTTCTACTAATACTGGAGGCATACAAACTAAGTTAGGATTAATTTGTAATATAGGTTGTGGTATAATTAACATTATTTGTAATTATTTAATAAGCTTTATGATTTAGATATTTTCTGTAATCAGTTAGCAAGATGAGAAGATTGTTTTATTTAATATGTGAATTAAAATGATACAAGTTTACCAAAAGTTATGTTGTATTTAAAGTTTGTCATGAAAAGGCTGCAAATCAAGTGATATTTTTAATGTATTTTAATTCACAAAATTAGTATTTTGCTATTGTAGTAAAATATTATGCAACTTGTAGTATCTGGTTTCAGTAGTATGATTATTATTGACAGATTAGACACAAAAGATGAAGTTTAGAATAAGGGGTATACTTGTGCAGATAAGCCTTTCTAGAAATAAAAGCATAAATATAGTTATAGAATAATTCCATACAAATTAACTAGTTACTGTCTACAAAGATTGAATTTTTTAAATGATATGGAAAATTATTTGCATTCCATTTTAATATTTGAAAACCTACTCTTTGTAGATCTTAGAAGGATACTGCTAAAAAATAAGCTGGTTCAGAAATATTTAGGCACTGAAATCATTGAACTTACATTTTTATTTTTGATTGGAAATGAATTCTGTAGCAAGTGATCTGAAGATAAGACTAAAATAACTTTTTTTTAACTGATAGGGTGATATAATATCACCTGCTGTGCTGTCCACACCACATTCAGTGCAAAATGAAGACTACCCAGAAATAGAATATATGCCAGTATATCCAGAACCTGAAGGTATGCATAAAGTTCTTTATTCTATTTATTTATATGCTAGAACAGTTTAGCATCAGCCAGAATAGAACTCCTACTTTCAATTGCAGAATCCAATTGCTCAGTCCAGTTATCTGACTGGAATAGTGAAAGAAGCTTTACCTAGAAATAGGCTTCAGTGAAGTAGTGAGGGGACTACAGAGTGCAGGCTTTTAGCCCTAAATGCCAGGCCCTCACATCTTATGCAATTTGCCCTGAGGACTATCACATGGGTAGTTTGAGGTAGTACTCAAGTGGTAACACTCCAGATACGGTGGATGTAAAATGTATGAAATATTAAGATGATCCCATTAATTCTTAGCTTATTAAGAATAACTTGGTAAATTTAAAAAATTGTAATATTTTCCTAAGAGTTCAGAAGGAGGTTAAAGTTTGGATATGCGAGCCTATTTGAATTATTAGCATAATTTTTATGGCAATAATCTTAAGAGGGAAGAAAAATATCTTTATGTTCTGGTTTACCAGTCTCTTATCTCTTTCAGCACAGGCTTGGTCCTTGGGACCTTCCTCCTAACCATTTTGTGCTTGTTATAGCTTTCATGCTATAACTTTTAAATTAGTAAGCATATGTTAACTTAATTTGGCAGATTATCAGTAAACATTACAATGCTTGCATTTGCAAAATATCACTTTTTTTATTATGTTTTAAGGTTTGTAAAGTAATGTTTTTCTCGTGCCTTTTTTTTTCTTTTCGCATGTTGCCTATCCAACATGCAAAGTAATTTTCATTTTAAGATTAAAATACTTTTATGCCTCAGAAAATTTTAAAATTTCAAATGCAAAATCTTTATAATGTCTAGATAGTTATCAAACGTTTCTTAAGAAAAACTTTATATCTTATCTGTTATTTTAAGTAATGAATCTTTGTAGGGGTTTGGTCAATTTGACCGATCTCATAACCATGTTAAAAAAATGAGGAATATAAATTATGCCTTTTTCATTCTAGAATTAACACAAATTATAACACAAAAAACATAAATGTTTAAACTAAATAGCTTAAATCTCATAGCATTATACATTTATATATATATATTATTTTTATTATATTGAACTTTCAGCCATGTCAGACTAACAATAGAGAAGTTACAATGATACAGTACATGTGCACTCATATTACCATATCCAATAATATAAAACTGACCTTTAGTCTTTACAAAGTGACCTGTATTGGCTGTGTTTTAGTAGACTAGTATTTAGTAAAATACAGTCACATTTCAATTATTATACATTATATATGTATATAAATTATTGTTATTTAGAAATAAGTTCTTAAACTTTTTTTCTTAAAACAGTAAATAAAGAAGTAAAGCAAACAATTATCTCTTCTTGTTATGACCTTTGTACTCAGTTGCTAAGTCTTTTAAAATTTTGCATGTGGAGGATATGAAAAAAAATATTTTTTTTAGGTTTAAAATATTTTTGGTTGAATAACCAAAAAATCATAAATTACTATATCAATACCATAGAATTCCACTATAATTTACCAAGCTTAGTAACTAAGCTGTATTTCAGTATTTCATTCTGAGCTTTCAATTGGTTATTCATGTCAAAAATAGAAGTAAATGTATATAAGGGAGAGTTTACCAAAAATGGAAAGAGGTGGGCAAGGTGACACTGTGGTTAATTTATTACATGAGCTAATATCTTAGCAAATTGAAAAGATAAGAGGTTCTTATTTTATATTCTAGCTTGTCAATGTCAGTAATTTGAGTTCCTAATATATACAAAACTAAAGACTTAGTATTGTGACATCACAAACATCTAATTTGAACCAGTGCTGCATTCAACATAGCACATGACACAAAATCGATTTTTAACTGTGTTTTAATATTTACCAAACTTATTGACATAAATTCACAAAATAGTAGTTCAATAAAATTTTTAATGTGAGTCAACAAATGTGATGATATGGCCTTTCACCTGTGACCCATCTTGAAAGGGTTAAGCCATCTAAGCAGTGTGCCATTGTTACTGGTTAAGTAAATAGAATTTTTGGTTGTATTTAGAGAACAATTGAATGTAAGTTTAAATAGATAATACTTTCATTGTATAGGTCACTTGTTAGGTCATCTTTGGAGTATCGTGTTCAGTCTCAGACTCATTTTCTTAGGGAAGGACATTGAATTGTTAGAAAAGTTTCAAAAGAAGGCTACTGGAAAGTTGTCATATGAGGTTAAGATCTCTGAAATTGTTTTATTTTGAGAAAAATAAGAGAGGGGATGTGATTGAGGTGTTTAAGATTATTAAGGTAATTGATAGTGTTGATGCATTATCTTTCTTCATACTTAATGGTGTAATGGGCACCGCCCTTAAGGCAAATTGTTGGAGTTTCAATTATACTGCCGATTACACCAAATTTATTTAGTTGAGGATTTGCGGTGGCGAGTGAAGCTTCCAAGTCGCTAATTCAATGTAATTTACAGTTAGAATAAAGAAACTGAGTAAGTCTTTCAGTTAGTAATATAATAGTCTTTAATTATTTTCATTTCACAATACACAATCTCAATATTAAGCATATAGATAATTTCTCTAGTTAACAATTCACTTATTAGCAAAAATCTTTAATTTATCTCGTATAAACCTTCTATTAATAATCAGTTAACATATTATAAATCTTTCTTGCTATAACTACATTGATTAAAGTTCAAGAGTCAGAAATTCTACTTACAACATAGTTGGCAAGGTGTACTTCTGCAGGTTGAATACCTTCAACATTTTCTTGGAGAAACTGTTTGGGATTCCTGAGTACTTGATAGAACTTGTGAGGAGACTTAACTTTCTGCCTCGATTATGAGTTTAAATTTAAACAACTTTTCTTCATGTTTCTACGAATTCCTAAATAGTATGCAGCACAACCCACAAGTAGTTCTCACACCCTATTGGTTGATCTGTGCACCTCCATGGGCTAGTCCAAAACCATAACCAAAACTCTCAAGTGATTGGTTACTGTTATAGTGAGTTAACTGGCTGCCTTCTTACTTGTGCTAGTACACTAGCCTTTCCTCTAGTCTGATTATGAAAGAGAATCATCTAAAAATAAACCAGTACAATGAAGCTGGATATACATATCTCCTGGATAATAAACAAAGATTTGTAGTTGATGAAGAATCACAAACTTTCAGCCAAATCTCAAAATCAATGGCTGTACATATCCATCCTTAATTTTGAATTGACATACCCTTCCCTTTGTAAGTGATGTTGCTCCAGCTTGGTGTAGGGATGTGGGTTTGAAATCAATTGCTATCCAGCTTTACTGTTCAAGTTTATCTGTTTTTATAAAGAATATTGAAGGCTTCTCTCTAGAGTATTGTCCTTTGGCCCTATATAATTTAAGTTTTGCTGAATGAATATTTCTTCAGAAACTAGGAAATTCTAGAAAAACTTGCTTTTGAAATCAAAAAGATATTTTGCTGCCCTTGAATGATGTTTTAAAAAACAACTTGCTATGCTAAATATTTTTAAAAAGTCTTTGAAAAATAAAAGCTTTATCTTATAGCTTTAAATGTTTTACTTCTTTCTATCTTTATTTCCTCAAACCTTTTTTAAGAGATTTTTTATAATTGATACTTCAAGCTGCCATTTCTTGTTGAAATTCCATAATTACAAAATTGAGGAAAACCAAATTGTAGTGAATAAATGATGTATTTATCAAACAAACGGTTGTCTTGTTTTCCTCAATTTTGTAATTTTAATTTATAAACTTGTATCTGGACATCTCCTGAAATAATTTCAAATCTTTGTAGCAATTGGGGATAATTTCTAAGCTCCTAGAAGCCTTAAGCATGGTTTTTTGAAATAACTTATTTATAAAGAATATATTTTAGTTTACCTTGTTGTGTTGATTGATTTTAATGTTTATCAAAGATGTGCCCTTTTTTCTTACATTATAAGAGAATAAAATCTCTCCATTCAAATAACCTAATTTTCTTTTACATTTTTTTAAACTCTGAATTTCTAACTTTATTGTTAGTGTTGCACATTTACTCTAACAATTGTTAAAATATTATTAGTGTGTTGATAAAAAAAGCAAAGAAACACAAGTAGTATTCTTTTGGTCTTATCAGTGAATTTTAACAACTCCATTGAAAAGTGTTTAACTGCATGAAATGTGAAATCAGTTTCTATTTCCATATTTTATTGAATTAAAAAATACTTAAATCTTGGTGAATTTTTGTTACGGTCACTTACCAGGTTTTAAACAAATCTTTAGTCAAGGAAATCCTCAAAAGATCATTGCTTTTCATCAGGAGATTGTAGAAAAGTGTAATCCCATTGTTCTCACATTCCCCATTTTTAATAATGACAAGTCATTGTGTTTATCTCAGTTTCATATAAATAAACTCTAGACAGTTTTATTAATAAAATAGGAAATATGCTGACTTGGCAACACTAAGTAACAGGCTTTGATCTATATACCTCTGCAAGCGAACAGGTATCACTTGACTATCATTGGAAGGATATTGTTGGTGTAGAATAAGCTCAAGACTCATTTGGAAGAAATCTGATATAAAATTTGGTGATGGAATAAAGAACATGGATTTTTAGGATTTTCTTTGTTGTGCTATTGGCAACTTGAAATATCTTCAATAAATATTATTTGATTTTGGTTACACTAGAGTAGTTGATAGCCTCAGCCAAAGCACATTATTTGAAATAGAGACACAAGGCTTTATCCTTTATAATTAGAAGTTGACTTAAGAGGCTGTAAATGATGAAGAATTTGTTAGTGCTTTATTCAGTAGTGCGTGGTCATTTAGAATTTCTTTTAATGGTTTGTTTCATAGTTTTTTTCTTCCCAAATAAGTGTTTCAATAGCTCAGATGTTAATTAAATTATACTAAGAAAGTGCAAATTCAATCCAGAGTGATTGAATATCAACACATATGCTAACTGGCTACTTAAAACACCCACAGAACACTTACTGTATGAGATGCAAAGTATGCATGAAAAAAGTTAACATTTGTTTTCTTACATTTCATTGTTTGTTTCACCGCTAGAATGTTTTCTACAGCAGTAAATTTGCTCCTTGAAAATGATAGTATGTTCCTACAAAAACATGTTGTTGTTTTTTTCCCCCATTAGCCTGTGCTATTTTCATAGGAGCAGTTTGTTTTAGAATGAAAAGGTAATATCTGGTGCTGATGGCATATTTTTGTGCTTAAGTTGTTTATTATCATATTCTTATAAATTATTTATTATTGTCAGAATTTAAAAATCTGATCTTCACTAATTGTCAAAATAAAAAGGCTTTTAGTTATATTTCTTAATGGTATAAATATATACTATGTTGTTGTTGGGCTTAGGATTTTTCTACAGTAGGTGTCTGTGACTTGTTAGTGATAAATTCAATGATAAATAAACAGCACACACACATCACATGTTTTAAAAATAATATATATATATATATT